TAGACCTCCAGTCTCTACTAAAAATAGAAAAATTAGTCAAACATGGTGGCTCATGCCTGTAGTCTCAGCTACTTGGGAGGCTGAGGCAGGAGGATCACTTGAGCCCAGGAGTTGGAGGTTGCAGTGAGCTACGATGACACCACTGTACTCTAGCCCTGGTGACAGAGTGAGACTCTGTCTCAAAAAAAAAAAGAAAATCATCTATTCCAACCATCTCACATACAGCTGGGGAAAATGAGGCCAAGGGCAGGGCAGTGGACTTACCATGTCCACTTAAGTTACTGACCAGGAATAAAATCCCCAGACCCTGGGAGATTAGGAGCAATAAATTGGTGACAGAGGTGGGGTGGGGTGTGGCTTCTACATTTAAGGCAGTAACAAATGGCAGCTGGCACTGGAAGATGAGGCAGAAAGAGTGAGGAGCTTATTACAGTATAATACCGGGTGTTAAGACTAAGACATGAATCTGAGTCATTACAAAAAAGTCCCAGCTGTTATTCCCCATTTAAAAAAAAAAAAAAAGAAAAACACAATATAGAATGGTTTGCATCCAGAATGTTTAAGGTACGCATGGCGATTTCATTCAAAGGGGTCAGCTCCAGGTATCTGGAAGGTTCTTTCCTGTGGAATGCCTTTGTGCCCAGTGCACGCTTGTTTTTTCAAGGATAGATGAAGTTTGTTTCTTGAGATGTGCACATATTTCCCAGACATAAAGCTGGTACTCTAATTTTTTGAGGGCTGACATAACTTGTATGCAGACAACTTATCTAAATGACCTGAAATAAAAATGACTGACCATAAATAAGCCCTCGAGAACATACAGTACTTAAGCATCACTGATCACCACTCCCAAGGCCACAGATGTATCAACAGTGTCTTATCAATCCTGCTGATGCTATCAGAGTCCAAAGACAAGCAGAATAAGAATTTATTACTCCAGCATGAAGTGACAGGCATGTCAGCTTTACTTATTTCTGTCCCAGGCTCGGGAGAGTCTTCCCTCCCCCTTCCCAGCAGCTCACCTTTTCCACTTAGCAAGATAACGAGGGGTGACTGTGATAAGACACCTCTTTGGTTTCTAGGCCTTACATTTATTCTCTTTTTCTTTGTTTTTTTGAGACAGAGTCTCACTTTGTTGTCCAGGATAAAGTGAGTGCCATGGTGTCAGCCTCGCTCACAGCAACCTCAAACTCCTGGGCTCAAGTGATCCTGCTGCTTCAGCCTCCAGAGAAGCTGGGACTACAGGCATGCACCACCATGCCCAGCTAATTTTTTCTATATTAGTTGGCCAATTAATTTCTTTCTATTTCTAGTAGAGACGGGGGTTCACTCTTGCTCAGGCTGGTTTCACTCCTGACCTCGAGCAATCCACCCACCTCGGCCTCCCAGAGTGCTAGGATTACAGGCGTGAGTCAACACGCCCAGTCTACATTTATTCTCTGTCACGCTCCTGGCATCGCCCCTCACTGGGCCATCGCTTCTTCCATCACCTCTACAACCTGTGGGATTCCTGAAAAGTCTCCCCAGGTGACCTTATCCCAGTGTCCAGGTACCTCCAGATAAACAGGCCTAGCTAGTCACATGGGCCTGCTCGGGACAGTGCACGTGCCCCTATTCACCCACCCGGCATCCTCCCTGGGGACTCAGACCCATGCCTCTGCCTTCCCGTTCTGTGCTGTCATTCCAACTACTTTGACACGATTTACAGGAAAGAACAGGAGCTTCGGAGCTGGAAAATCCTGAGTTGAAACCCAGCTCCAGCACCCAAATTGAGCTCTGTGCCTGGGAACAAGTTGTTTCTCCTTCCTGAGCCGCAGTGCTTTTACACTCAAGTGTAAAAGCAGACGGCTGTGCAGCGTGAATGAGAAGACGTGTGCACAGTGCCCAGCACATAGTAGGTGCTCCGTGGAAGCTCCTTTCCTCCCCCTCTCTCCCTGTCCCTCCACGTGTAACTGCTGGCTCCCATCTCTGCTCGGTGACCCCTCCCCATCTGCCTTCTGCTGGCAAGAGCTTCTACACCTGAATCATGACGAGTGTTTAAAAAACCTGTCTCGGGAAACGTGATTACAGAGCATTGCCAAACTGTGGTTCTCGAAATAGAAATGACAAGACTGCAAAATATGGCCAAGCTTTAGAGGGCTGCGAAGGCTGAGGGAGAGAGAAGAGGCCCCGGGCTCCCCCGCCCCGCTGCACCCCTGCCCCAGTAGAAAGCATCACCCGATTTAACAAATGAAGATGTAGAATGCCCAGTTAAATCTTCATTTCGGATAACTAACAGGAAGGAAAATGCTTCTCTAGCAAAGGAAAGTAGTAGAGAAAGGAAAATAATGATCATGACTGCCAGAAAAAGAGGTGGCCGTCCCACCTGGTGCCACCAGGGAGAGCATCAAGTTCTCAGATCAAAAGGGAATTCCTGATGGAGCCATAACTCCGTGGGGTCATGAGGTCCTGGGGAATGCCAGAAGGTGGCGAATAGTGGTCACCATCCTTCCGTGAAGTATGGGCATTCCTGGAGAGGTGCGTGGGTTTGGAAGCTCACTGTTGCCCAAGCATCCTCAATGTCTGTGCAAAACCCACCCATCACATGCTGACGTGTGAGTTTTATTTTATTTTTTATTCATTAATTGTTTATACATAATTTAATTTTGAAATCTTTATGCATAATTTCATTTAATATCTAATATTCTATATAATCCTAAAAATGTCGGAAAAGAGGAGATAAGCCACTCATGCTTAAATATAAGTGAGTTCTCTCTTAATTATTTGGATTTGAATTTTCAGTTTTAAAAGAAGAAGGGGTGGTAAAATTCACAGGAAAGCGCACGTAAGTTACTGCACAAACTGAATATCACGCCCACTGGATTACTGCAATAACTTCCCAACTGGACTCCCTCCTTCTGCCCAGCCAGTCTCTTCTCACCCAGCAGCTGGAATGAATCTTCTAAAAAAACAAGTCAGATTGTGTTGCTTCCCTGCTCAGAATCCTCCAGCGGCTTCCCAGCTCACTCCATGTGAGAGCAAGTCTTTCCAACAGCCTCCCAGGTCCTGTGGGACTCAGTTCCCCCCTCCGTTCTTCCCCTCCAACCTTATTCAGCTTCAGTCCCACTGATGCTGCCTCCCCGCCAGGCCTTGCCCAGGACATCCCTGTGCTCCTTCCCTCCCCTCTTGCAGGTCTGTGCTCTAATGCCAGCTTCTCTGAACGCCTTCTCTGGCCAAGCCTTGTAAAATCACAGCCCCCATTCCCAGCACTTCCTATCCCCCTCCCTGCCACCGCTACCCATGAACTTACTGCACGTTTCACTTTGGCTGTATAGTTTGTGTCTGTCCCCACTAGAACGCAGGACAGGAATGCGGCACTCTGTCCCCTGCAGCATGCCCAGCATGCAGAGCAGCATGTGGCACACAGTAGGCACTGCGCAAAGCTATTTACTGAGCGCTGGGCTAGACATAAGGTAAAGATAATGATGAGCTAAACTGGGGTAAAGTGTTTTTACCTGAAAGCCAACAAACAAATAAATGTGGGGTTTTCTCCAAGACTTTGAAGGTTGAAAAACAGCCCTTCCCGTGAAGCCCCCAATCTGCTTTCTTCTTTTCCCCATCAGAAAATGACTAGGAGCCAGAGGGAGGCTGTGATTTTCCTACTTCGGATGTTAATATTCAAAAATGCATAAAGGTTTCGGCCGCTGGTGGCATCTACGCCTGTAATCCTAGCTCTTTGAGCGAGCGCGGGGATGCTCAAGGTCAGGATGTTCCGGCAAAACCAGCTGATGCAAGAGCGAGACCCCGTACTACTGACTATAAATAGAAAAGAAATTAATTGGCCAAACTTGAATAGTATATGATAAAAAATTAGAACAGGCATGGGTGGCGCATGCCTGTGAGTCCAGCTACTCGGGAGGCTGTAGCGGCAAAGGGTCACTCGGAGCCCAGAATGAGGTTGCTGTGAGCTAGGCTGACGCCGACGCATCTCACTCTAGGCCTGGACAACAAAGGCCGCACCATCTGTCTCAAAAAAAAAAAAAAAAAAAAAAAAATGCAGGGGGTGGGGCGTGGTGGCTCACACCTAAAATCCTAGCCCTCTGGGAGGCGGACCAGTTCAAGAGTCAGGAGTCTCGAAACAAGCCTGAGTAAGAGCGAGACTCCGTCTCTACTAAAAATAGAAAGAAATTAATTGGACAACTAAAAATATATAAAAAAAATTAGCCGGGCATGGTGGCACATGCCTGTGGTCCCAGCTACTGGGGATGGCTGAAACAGGAGGATTGCTTGAGCCCAGGAGTCTGAGGTTGCTGTGAGCTAGGCTGATGCCATGGCACTCTAGCCCTAGCAACAGAGTGAGACTCTGTCTCAAAAAAAAAAAAAATGCAGGACAAAGCCGTTGTATCATTGGCATTTTATCAATCACAAGATTGAAGAAAGTACATATTTGCCTACATCCTTTTATTTATTTATTTATTTTGAGACAAGTCTCCTTTGTTGCCAGGCTAGAATGAGTGCCTGGCCAGCCTAGCTCACAGCAACCTCAAACTCCTGGGCTCAAGCAATCCTTCTGCCTCAGCCTCCTGAGTAGCTGGGACTACAGGCATGCGCCACCATGCCTGGCTAATTTTTTCTATATACATTAGTTGGCCAATTAATTTCTTTCTATTTCTAGTAGAGACAGGGTCTCGCTCTTGCTCAGGCTGGTTTCAAACTCCTGACCTTGAACTATCCTCCCACCTCAGCTTCCCAGAGTGCTAGATTACAGGCATGAGCCACCGCACCAGGCCATGGCTGCATCCTTTTAAAGTGCTTCCCAAGTCTCCCCCTCAGGCTAAGAACAGTCAAGCAATCTCAGACCCAAGAATGTGCTTCTCAAGAAGTTTCGGCACAGCAGGCATCAGATAAAGCTTCCCTTGATCGGCAAAGATGGCAGCTGTCACCCTTTTAACAGAGGTTCAAATGAATGACCTTTAAATGTGAGACGTGTCAAAATCCAAAATGCCAAACAGAACTCCTACCTCTCCACCGCATCCCCGATGAGCTGCTGCAAGTCCACCTCCTGCTTCCTCAGGGTCCCAAACGAAGACTGACTCTGCACGAGGCCGCTGCCGCCCAGGTTCAGCTTCACCTTCCCCAGCGCTGTCTCGATGGTCCCGCTCACGTGGTTCTCAAACTTGCCCTCGTATTTCACAAAGTCCGACTCCACGACCACTGGAATGGACCGGACAAGCAGAGGCATCTAATGACGACAAGGCCACCTGTGTCTCAAGTCGCCCAGCTTTCCAAAGCCTGTTTTCCTCCGGGAAACAGGAGGCTGGCATTTGGATGGAAAGCCGGCAGCCAAGCCACGTGGATGGGCAAGAAAACAGGGCCAGCTCGCCTGTGTGCACCCTGCTAACCAGGGCTCCACAGGGTGCTTTATTGTTTTCCCATTTTTCAATTCCAATATGTGGAGAAAGGTGCACAAAAACCATCTGTACAGTTTAACAAATAATTTTAAAGTGAGCATCTCTTTAACCATTGTCCAGGGTAGAAACAGAACATTTTCAATGTGTGCTTTTCCAGGATGAAAGCCTGAGGAGGGACTAGACGAGGATGACACCTACGCAGAGAGACTCAGCAGCCTCCCCCAGGTGCACTGAGGATTGCCTTAGTCAGCATCGGGCAAGGCGGCCACCTGGGCCTGTCCCAGGGCATCTTGCCTTCCCACCCACCAGCTTGGAGAGCAGTCCTCTGGCCCTCATGATCCATCTCCAATCAAATAACTCCCTTCCCACATTTATGTTTTTATATCTGACCTCTACCCAGTCACTCAATTCCTTATCATGCAACTCTTTATCTCTGACTTTCTGATAAAGTCAGAGGACAGGCCCTTCTTATCCAAACCCTAACGATAATGTCTGATGATCTCATATCTGAATGGCCAGCCTTCTCATAGCTCCAGGTTCCTACTGTTCTCATTCTCAATCCAACCAAAACCACCTTAAAAATGGTCTGTATCATCACCATGTGGTAAGGATACATTAAGAGTTTACTAGGACCCAGGCACGGTGGCTCATACCTGTAATCCTAGCACTTTGGGAGGCTGAGGTAGAAGGACCTCCTAGGAGTTTGAGTATGCAGTGAGTATGTCAGCAGTGAGCTGACACCATAGCACTCTAGCCCAGGAAATAGAGCAAGACCCTATCTAAAAAACAAAAAAAAATTTTTTTTTAAATCTTCTAGGAAGTTCACACTTGGCATTTTCCATTTCCCCAACTCAAGGCTTTCCTAGGCTCTAGGTTGCATATCACAAGTGATTCAAACCCCCCTAGAGTCTGAAAGGCTTCTTTCCACCCACTCACTGCCCTGACACCTATATCTCACCTATATATCTTTCACTCCAATGAAGAAAACCCACACCTTAACCAGGGTTAATCAGAAGCAATCACCATTCATTGTCATTGCAATTTGCAAACTAGAGATTCACCTCCCCCACCACTGCCAAAAATAAAATGGTTGTGAAAATGCCTTCAATTCAAAGCTTTTCCTATTAATATCTGGTGGAAAACAAACACTTTGGGAAATGCTTTGATAAGCAGGACAGAGCAGATACTAAGAGCCTAAGATTATATCCCTACTCTAGTATTACTAACTGGGAGATCTTGGGTAACATTCACCTTCCGGAACCTCAGATTTTCATATGCAATTGGGAGACCATTAATGGCACCCACCTGATGGAGTCTCTTGCAAGCTGATGTATGTACAGCATGTAACACGGAGCCTGACACACAGCAAGGCTCAATCTATCCACTGGCTTTAGGCCAGAGCAACATCATTTCCTGATAAACAGGACAGTGCTAGGTTCTACGATGTGTGAAAAGATAGATATTCTATCTTCAGAACACCGTGCTGGTCTCAGTCAAGTTCAATACCACTCCTGACAACTCTTATCTCCAAGACTGGACTCCACAGCAGGTAGGGGCACTCAAGATTTTGTCTATGTATTCCAAAAGCCAGAACTAGACTCGCTCTAAAAAAAGATGTCATTTGTGCACACTTCCACGATATCATCAACTACTGCTGGTGGAAGGGAAGAAATGAAGGAACCAACAGGCTACGGTTTGGACAGCCAATTGCCAAATCGCCACCCTCCAGCCTGCACATCCCTGGGCAACACACAGGCTGGTGTTGTTGCAAGTGGCAAAAAATGACAAAGGTGAAGTATCCTGAGCCTATTCAGTAGGCAAAGTAGAGGATACTTCTCATCACAGCACCAACACCAACTGGACACACAATCCAGGATGAGCTCCGACCTCAGAGATCAGAATATTCAGGGCTGCTTCATCTGGAGTGACTGCCACCAGCCTCACCAGTCTAGCAGGGGCTTCACAACCTCTCAGGACAACAAATAAGAGGTATTTTAACATCCCAGAGTGGTGAAATTCCAATTACTCAGGGGTCCCTGGTCCATTTTGTAAATTTTTCTTTCTTTAGCTCCTGTTCATATTTAGTTATTTCACCACTCAATAGAATTTCTAGCAGAAAGCACACAAAATCTGGTGGGGCTGAGATGACATAAAATTAATATAAACTCATTCACCCATTGCTTGGCAGCTCTGATAAGCTGGTAGAAGACAACACTGGCCAGAATGCTTGTCTGGAAGAAGGTCTGGACATTTTTTGGGTAAACTCAAATTATCTCCTCTATGTCTTTTCCCCTTTAATAAAGATGCAATCACAAAATTAGAGAACTTTAGAGCTGAAAGAGGACTCGGACATCATTTTGTCCAATAATTAAGAGGTGATGGTTGGGTGGGGTGGCTCACACTTGTAATCTCTTCCACCAGTAGCAGTTGATGACAATGCAGAAGTGTGCACAAGGCCGGAGGATCACTTAAGGCCAGGAGTTCGAGACCAACCTGGGCAATATAGTGAGACCCCATCTCTACAAAAAACAGAAAAATTAGCTGGACATGGTAGCTCACACCTGGGTCCCAGCTACTTAGGAGGCTGAGGTGGGAGGATCACTTGAGCCCAGGAGTTTAAGGTTGCAGTGAGCTATTACGATGCCACTGTACTCTAGTCTGGGCAATAGAGAGAGAGAGAGACCCTATCTCAAAAAAAAAAAAAAAGAGTTGATAATATTTTCATATATCATCATATCCCCAAAAGTAATGTAGCAATGAGTACCAAATCTTCAAAAAGCTCCCAACCTCTGGTCCTGTAATTCAATCTCTAAGAATCTATGCTAAAACAATTGCTTAAAAAACAGCAACAAAAATACAAACAAAAATGCTCATAGTAGTCTTATTTATTAAGCACTAAATTGGAACAGTTAATCAAATTAGGATATATACACTCAAAGGAATATTATGTGTTCATTGAAAATAGCATTAAAAATATATTTAAATCTATGGAGGAAAACATAATAAGGTTAAATAAAAAAAATAAGGAATAAATATAAATTGTATGTAGTAATGTTTCCAATTTTGTTATTAAAAAATTGGATACAGGCCAGGCACAGTGGGTCACGCCTGTAATCACAGCACTCTGGAAGGCTGAGGCGCAGGGAGGGGGGTAGGGTATAGCTTGAGCTCAGGAGTCTGAGACCAGCCTGAGAAAAAGTAAGACCCTATCTCTACAGAAAATAGAAAAATTAGCCAGGCACAGTGGTACATGCCTATAGTCCAAGCTACTCGGGTGGCTGAGAAAGGAGGATCGCTTGAGCCCAGGAGTTTGAGGTTACAATGAGCTATGATGATGCCACTGCACTCTATCGGGAGCGACAGAGCAAGACTCTGTCTCAAAAACAACAACAACAAAAATTGAATGCAGAGAATAAAAGACTACAATCTAAATGTTCACTGGAATTAATATGTGATGGCGGGGTTTTTGTTGATTTTTAAGTCTTCTTCATCCTTTTCCATATTTTGTACTCTACTGCAATAATGCATGTGACTCCATTTCTGATGTCTGCTGACAGCTTTCAAATCCCAGTCCTCCTTCTCTTTCTGGGCAAACTGATAAGAGCATCCAGGTGCTCTGTCCACAGGTGCCAGTGACAGCTCGAACTACATAAGCCCAGCCCTCAGGCAGGGATCCTCACCCATCTCCACTCACTAATCACAATAAACAGTGAGCCCATCTCCTTATCCCCCTCTCCGTAGCCACTTTGGGCCAGCTTTAGAGCCTGCCCTGCTTTCCCCAGAAAGCATCATTATGTGAGTGATAAAACTTTTCACGCCCTCTTGATGGGTATGTGGCATCATCAATCTCAACCCTGAAGCAAATTTTCAGTGGCATGTCTTACTTTTAGACCAAAAATGCAAAATTATTTCTAAAAGATTAAGCTATAAACTTTTCATGTCAGGCCTACAGAATTTTGTTCACTTTAAGAAAGGACATGTTTTACAGGCGGGCAGCAAAGAAACAGGAGAATTCATTATAAAGTATCTAGACTCAAGACAACATGCTTCTAAAAGAAGAATCTCCTGTTCTGGGACTAATTGTGAAATATTCCCAGGGAACGTACCTGGACTCAGAAATTGGTCTTCTGCGAGTACGTCTCCAAGGGTGATGGATAAAAACTGGTACTTGGGTCGTTGCCAGAACCAGAATCTCTTCTTTTTGGTCACCAGACTTAGAAGTTGTAGTTTATCAGAGTCATTCAAATTTGACACTGCGATCAGGTCGCCGCCATTGTCAACTTCTCTAAGGAAATTCCTTGTGGCTTTGGCAAACATTTTGAAAGCTCCAGATTACCTGAAAAAAATGAAGTTATGCTAACATCAAATGAGAAGTTAGTATTTTGTGGGGTATGTGCCCTAAAATTATCATATTTCTTCCTAGTCTCAAGAGTACAAATGAAAAACTATCTTCTCCCTAGGAGACGAGCCCCTCCTGTTTGAGTTCAACTGACCAAGAAATCAAATTGAGACACTGAGAGAGCACATGTGTTCCAGTCAGGACAGGCTACGTTGTGCTTCAGAATCAAACAACCCCCAAATCCTAGTGGCTTATAACTATAAAAGTTTACTTTTTGCTCACACTACAGGTCCAATACAGGGGGACAAGAGAGCTTTGTTTATTAAAGTCTCAAGGATCCAGGCTGAAGGGGAAGACACCATCTTGAACATTGTCAGTCATTATCCAACAGAAAAGAAAGTTCTGGAAGCTCTCACACCAACAGTTAAATGCTCTGGCCTAAAAGTGACACATGGCATGTTCACTTACAACCTGTCAGAACTGGTCCATGGCCTCAGCCAACCATAAAGGTCAGGAAATACAATCCTACCAAGAATCTAGAAGGCAGAGACCTGGGAATATTTGTTCAAGAACAACATACTGATGGCAATAGGTAGCTTACCTATGACTACTTTTTAAAGGGTCAAAGGTGCTTTTTCTCTACACTGTGGGATCTCTCCTATGCAGAAATGGAAAGTACCTAGCTATGAATTTTTCACCCAAAAATGAAGGCATAGTTGCACTTCAGCTGGAGGGAAAAAGAAGAGACATATTAGAAGATATATTGGACTGAAGGTTTCACCAGGAAAAAAAAAAAGAAAAAAAGAAGATATAAAAGAAAAGTACTATATTCAGTGCAAGAAGTATAGACTATTTATTTATTTATTATTTTATTTTATTTTATTGGAGACAGAGTCTCTGTCTCTGTTGCCCTGGCTAGAGTGCAGTGCCATCATCATAGCTCACAGCAACCTCAGACTCCTGAGTTCAAGTGATCGTCCTGCCTCTGCCTCCTGAGTAGCTGGGACTACAGGCACACTCCATTGCGTCCAGCTAATTTTTCTATTTAATATAGACCATTTAAGAAATGGTGTTGGAACAATGAGTTAACCATCTGGAAAAAATTAAGTCTGATTCATCTCTCTTGCCATACACAAGAACAACTTCTCAATGGATCAGAAGTTTCTTTAAGGAAAAATGAAACCCTAAAAGTAGTAGAAAAAATGTAGACAAACATTTACACAATTGTAGGATGGAAGGGCCTTTAGAAAGTCAAGGGACAAACTGAGAAAATACTTGTAGTATTCATGACAAAGAACAAGAATGCTTAATATATTTAAAAAACAGTTTTACAAATCAAGTTTTAAAATAAATATTGTACTCCAGTAGAAACATGGGCAAAGGTTATAAACAATACACAAATTGCAAATAGCCAAATACACACACACATACACACTATATATATACATGTGTGTATAATTTAAAAGTTTATTATATAAAAAAACTAAACTGAAATAACATTTAAAAAAAACTATCCATGGTCAAAAGTTGAAAAGTCAAATGGACAGGAAGTATGCTTCATATATATATTCACACCCTGGCTCTTGGCATGCTCACATATTCATACAGCTCTCTTAGAATTTAACAGCTGGGCCTGGGCAACATAGTGAGACCCCATCTCCACAAAATATTTTAAAAATTAGCCAAGTATGTTGGTGTGTGCCTGTGGTCCTAGCCACTTGGAAGGCTGAGGCAAGAGGACTCCTTGAACCCAGGAGTTCAAGGTTACAGTGAGCTATGATCACACCACCACACTCCAGCCTAGGCAACAAAAGAAGATCTTATCTTATTTAAAAAAAATAAATAAATCCTATCTTATTTAAAAAAACAAATGAAAGAATGTAAGAGCTAGGAGTAAGCTCAGACTTTAACTAGTTCAATCCACTTTCTTTAATAAGAATATCTCCTCTTTCTTTAATAAGAATATCTCCTCTTTCTTTAATGAGAATCCCTCTTCTAGGGTATCAGAAGTCATTTGCCTTTACCTATCACTAATTCTTCTCTAAAGTACCTTTTCTTAGATTGTTATGAAGCAATAGCTACCTGACCC